TGGTTTTTAACTTAAATTTTCATCCTAAATTCTGCTATTGATCTTTCTGCATTTTGCTGCATTATTTTCCTGTAAGAAAGAGTATAAACACAAAGTGTGTTCGTTGTGTGAATAGTTTGTAGTGCTGTTACTATTCACTGTTGATCATTTTATCCTGAGAGATAGATGTCCACAATCTGAAAGTACTGTGGAGAGGGCAAATCTGTATTAAGGATACAGTGTTAAACACTGAACTTGATCAAAAATTTGCTTGATAGATTAATAAAGTGAGTAATTAATTAGTTTCTGTAATTTTTTTTAATCAGATTATGATTTTATTTTTGTAACAAAATAAGAATCTGTTGTTTTATTTATTTTTATTTTTATTTTAGTTTGATTTTTGTAATCAAACAGTCTCTATTTTTCCTTTAATTTTTTGAATACTTTGAAGATTGTCCAGCACTTGAGACTTGGAAGATGATGTTAACACTATGTGGAACTCGATGGCCAATTGTATGAGGAAAATCTCAAGGGAAGTGCTTGGAGAGTCGAAAGGAGCGGGATCAAACTCTAGGGAAACTTGGTGGTGGAGGGAAGAGGTTCAAGCGGTAATTAAGGCAAAAAAATAGTGCTTTACAGTGCATGATAGAGTGCCTCGGGATATAATATGGTGGGTGTTAGAAAAGAAATGGGTGATAAAAAGTTACATTGATGTGATTAGGGACATGTATGAAAGGGTGGTGACCACTATTAGATTGCCTGCTGGAGAGACAAATAAATTTTCTATCATTGTAGGGTTATACCAATGATCTAACTTAAGTTCATATCTTTTTGCTTTAGATATGGATGAATTGACGAGAAACATTCAGGATGACGTGCCATGGCGTATGCTTTTTGCAGACGATATCGTACTAGTGGATGGGACTAGAGAAGGAGTTAACACAAAGTTAGAGATTTGGAGAAAAACACTTGAATCTAAAGGATTCCGAATAAGTAAAACTAAGACAAAGCACATGGAGTGTAAATTTAGTAACAGTAACAATGAAAATAGAGGAAAAGTGAAGATTGAGAACCAAAAATTACTTAAGAGTAAACATTTTCGTTATTTAGGGTCGATTATCACAACATCGGGAGAGATTAATGCGGATGTGACCCATAGAATTAAGGCGGAATGGTGTAAGTGGAGAAAGGCGTATGGGGTACTGTGCAATAAACGAATACTCACTAGACTAAAAAAAAAGTTCTATAGAACGGCTATTAGGCCGGCGATGTTGTATGGGACGGAGTGTTGGGCAACCAAGAAACAACATGTAGATAAGATAAGTGTGGCTGAGATAAGGATGCTAAGGTAGATGTGTGATAAGATTAGACAAGACATAATTAGGAATGAGTGTATTTGGGAATGGGTAGGAGTAACACCGATAGAAGATAAGTTGAGAGAGAGAAACGATTGAGATGGTTTGGTCATATTCAATGGAGACCAACAGAGGCAGTAGTAAAGAGATGCGTTGCAGTGACAGTAGATAGAAGTGTTAGGGGACTGAATATGCTTAGATTGACGTTGACTAGCGTTGTAAATAGATATATGGATCTACTTAATTTGACTAATGAAATGACTTTTGATAGAGCCGCGTGGAGAAAAAAGATTCATATAACCGACTCCATTTGATAAAACTTAAACTTGGATTTGATTGGTTTGATTTGGTTTGAAAATTGCAAACAAAAACTTATTTAATATAAAATATTAATTTAAAAACTTCTAAATAACTTACAAATTTGTTATTATCACCACAAAAGAAAAAAAAAATACTTACAAAAAAATAATAATAATAATGAATCCATTCAGTCATTTTTTTTTGGGTCCTTCCGATGATCACTCACATGCCACTTCCATTTTGGCGATTATTTCCGAGGACTTCCTATAACAATCAGCCGATAATCACATCTTATTGGTGATAATCACTTTTGATTATAAAACGAACTTTGCTTGCATGCTTTTAGAGTCCTCAACCATCATCTTTAATCACCACTTCTTACACTCAACCATCATTTTTTAAGCAATTTTAGGGTTTGTGAAGTAGGCTGACTTTTTAGTTTTTTTTTTTTTTTTTTTGATTATTTTAGTTTAGGGTCAAAAAATTTTATTTGGAAAAGACTTTTGACTTTTTTGTAAGAGAAAGAATATAATGATTATAGATTAAATGTGATATTTAATTTTTTTGTGACTAAAAAGCTTATTTTGTTTATTGTAACTATTTTAGCCAAAAAAACTCAACTTTTGGCTTCCCAAACGAAGCCTTAATAGGTAAATTTATTTTTTAATAAGTTATATACTGTAAATTTATTAGATATTATTAAAAAATATTATTAATTATTGATTTTTAGTAACAGTTTAAAAATTGTCATAAAAATGTTATTAATTATAAATTTTAGCGACAATTTAAAAAAACGTCACAAAAAAATTCTTAATTTTTAATTTTCAGTAACAGTTTAAAAAATTTGTTACAGAAAAATATCCCTAATTATAAGTTTTAACGATAATTCATAAAAATCATCACAAAAAAGTCATTAATTGTCAATTTTTAGCGATATATATAAAAATTTGTCACCAAAAATTATTTTTAACGACAATTTTACTATTACTTATTTTCAATAGAATTTGATAAAAATTAGGTCAATCTATTAAGACTTGTTTGATTTGGATTTTCAAGATTCACTTTTTAAAAAATTAAGATTTCTTATTTTCTGTATTTTTTTGCTTTCATTAAATTTTTTTAATATTGTAAGTAATTTTTTTAATCTTTAGATACATTTAACATAAATACACTTAAAAAGAATAATATTTGTGATTTTTTTTAAAAATTTACTAAACACCAAAAATATTTTTAAAAATGAGAATTCAATATATATTTTTCGTATTTTTATATATTTATTAATTTTTTAAAATATTTTTTACAAACATTTTACTTTTTAAAAATATTTAAGTAAAGTGCATCCAAAAAAAATAAAAAATTACTTAAAATTTTGAAGATATTCAATAAATAAAAAAAAAATATGAAAAGTAAAAAATTTAATTTAAAAAAATTAAAACTAAAATATTGTATCCCATTTTTTAATTGGCTCAAACCACCTCCACCTCCAGAGTCCCGTCCATCACTTTCTGCAACACACAACTACTTCCAGTAATCAATAATAATCACCTCTTGCCACCACTTGTGACATTTGACCATCATCTTTACTTATTTTGAAAATAAATTTTAAAAATAATGTCTCGTTTAAGAACAAATTATTTTAGTAATTTTTTAATTTTTTATAAAAAGATATACAAAAAAGTAGAGAGGTGATGTGACTAGTTTTAGTTGGTTTTTTGACTTTTTGGCTAAAATAATTAGTCACCAAACAAGGCCTTTGTGTTCTTAAAATAAATTATTTTTTAATTTTTATATTTAATATTTAATTTAATATAAAGGTCATGCAGCTTTGTGAACATTATTTTTTTAAGAATAATGCATTTAACTATTATGGGGTGTTTTGGTAACACATTAAAAAAATCAAAAGTTAATTTTTTACTATTTTAGATTATACCCCCTCTCACATGAAAAAAAAAAAAAAAATTTAACTATTTTAACAAAACACACTTATATTTTAACTATTTAAATTGCCTTGACTTGGTCTACGGACACTTGTGAAAGTCTACACAACATTTATTAATCAACTTGTAACTAATTTGGTATTTATTTCATGTATAAAATTAGAAGAAGAAAGAAAAGAAGAAAGCATACCATCACGCCAACAAGGTAGTTGCAACCAATTTTTTTTTTTTAATATTATTATTCATATATTCTTTTTATTAATTTGGGACATGTGAGTAGAAGACTTCTAAAAATCAAACAATACTAAGGTTTTGTTTGGGATGTTGCGGGTTTTTTTTTTTTTTTTTTTGATTTTTTAGTTTTTTAGTCTAGGCTAAAAAATTTCGTTTAGAATAAAAAAAAATTTTTTAAAATTTTTGTGAGAGAAAAAATAAAATAATTATAATTTAAATGTGACATTTTATCTTATTAATTTTTTAACTTACTTTATCATTTTGTAACTAAAATAATCTTTTAGGCCTCGTTTGGTGATAGACTAAATTAATAATTTTTTAACTAAAATATGAAATAAACAAATTAACGTATTTTGAATAATTTTTTAATTTTTTACAAAAAAAATATATAAAAAATAAAGAGAATTTTTTTTTTCAATTTTTTAATATAAGTTATAAGTGTTTTAATTTTTTTAATTTTTAAATTAAAATTATTACATGCGAAACGAGAGTTTAGTCCCAACAAAGTCTTAGGTCAAACGATGATAAGTGTGAAAAGACAAAATCGCGTTGTAAATAGGAATCTGCCTTCCAAGCTTCTGAAATTTGTTTTGGATGTTTTTGGAAACAAAAAACAACGAGAAAGCAGAAAGGAAGTCTCTTTTTTCTCTATCCTCTTGGAGGGGGCAGAGAGAGAGAGAGAGAGAGAAAATTAGAGAGAGGGGGTAGGAAGGAAGTCTCTTTGATAATGGCTTTGACCTTTTCTCTCTCTCTCTCTCCATCTTCTTCCATGATAGGATTCACACGCAAAATTCCTATTCTCATCTTCTTCTTCACCCCAAACCCTTTTCTTTTCTCCCATAAATCTTCTCTCCATCTTCCAAGAATTTTCAGTGTTTCCAATTCCCTCTGAATTCCCTCTTTTTCCTTGAACATTCCCATTAATTACCATATAACTTTATTTAATTTTTTTATTTGGAAAATCAGAATTGGGTTACAAGATCCTAGAATTCAGGGTTGGTGTTGAAGCTCATCCTCCAGTTTTGAAGTCGAAGAAGAAAACCCAGGTTTTGTAATCTTGAAATTCTTTATGTTTTGTGTAGAAAAGATCAGGGTTTGATCTATCATCACCTATATATTGCTCAAATCTGGAGACCCAGATCGAAAAAGCCTGAGATTTGAAGCTTTGATTTTGAGAAATTGAAGCTTTTTTTTTTTCCCCCTCTTGGTTTCTTATTGTTTTTTAAGATTTTGATTGATTTTGACCCATAGTTTGGTCATACATTGGAACCCATTACATCAAAACATCAAAAAAAGTTGAGAATTGAAGGGTTTGATTTATGGGAAATTGTTGTGTGACGCCATCTCTTGAAACAGAGAAGAAAAAGAAGGGAAAAAAACAAAACCCATTTGCTATTGACTATGGTACAAACCGCACAGTTGGAAATGGTGGTTACAAGTCCTATGTATTGGACAACCCAACTGGACATGAAATAGAGCAGAGATACGAGCTGGGTCGCGAGCTCGGGCGCGGTGAATTCGGGGTTACCTATTTGTGTACTGATAAATCTTCTAAGGACGTGTTTGCTTGCAAATCAATATCCAAGAAGAAGCTGAGGACTAGAGTGGATATTGAGGATGTGAGGAGGGAGGTTGAGATCATGAAGCATATGCCACCATATCCTAATATTGTCACCTTGAAGGACACTTATGAGGATGATAGTGCTGTCCACTTGGTGATGGAGCTATGCGAGGGGGGTGAATTGTTCGATCGAATTGTTGCTAAGGGGCATTACACCGAAAGGGCGGCTGCAGCTGTGACTCGAACAATTGTCGAAGTTATTATGGTGAAGATCTATCTTTGTTTTTATGTAACTTATATTATTGTTATTGCTTTGATCTGCATACCATCTTCCAATTTTATTGTGTTGAATTAACTGATTACACTGGCATTTATGTTTTTAAGTAGAGTACGATAATTAATTCAATATGATTATTAGCTGGAGATAATATGTACTTATATATATATATATATTAATGCACAAAAGGAGAGTTTAAGTCTTAACTTAACTGAGGACCCCAAAGAGTTTACTTATGTCTGCAGCCAATGGTTATTTGATTTAGTTTCAGTTATTTCCTGGTAATGATCTTGATTACTCGGCGCATCTTACATTAACTGGATTTGTGGGTTAGTTGTTGGAATTAAGGGAATTTAAGTCCTGGTGGAGATAAATTGCTCGATACAAATTTCAATTTCCCTTTTCAGTTTCATTCATTTGAGAATAATTTTTCATCTGAGTTTGGGTGACCTAAAAACTTTAGCATATCTTGGCTCCATTTCAAGATTCTAGTTCCTATGGTAAGATGTTGAGATCTCAGTTTCATTTGTCCTTGTCGCAAAACATGAAATCTTGCCCATTTGTGAACTAGGTACTTGCATCTTTACAATTTGAGTCATTGTCTTCTGACTATTGTTTACTATGTGGTGTGGGCTTTTGGTTTGCTCCATTTTTGGTAATTTTATTTTCTTTTTAAACACATGAAGCCAACTGTTCTATTGGCTATTTCCATTTTTTCTTTATGCTTTGTGAACTGATTGTCTTCATTTTCCCTGAGCTATTCCTTGAAAGAATTTGAGTTTTGGACATGCTTCTAGACTTGAAATTATTGTCCTCTTTTGTGTGTTGCAGATGTGTCACAAGCATGGGGTCATGCATCGGGATCTCAAACCTGAGAACTTCTTGTTCGCTAACAAGAAGGAAACAGCGGACTTGAAGGCAATTGATTTTGGGCTGTCGGTGTTCTTTAAACCTGGTAATGCCTTTTGATACTCATTACACTTGAAAGATTTGCTTGGTCCCTTCATTTACACTAGCTGAAGTTTGTTTAATTTCTACAGGTGAGAGATTTAATGAGATTGTGGGAAGTCCCTACTACATGGCTCCTGAGGTGCTGAAACGGAATTACGGTCCAGAAGTTGATGTCTGGAGTGCTGGAGTAATCCTTTATATCTTACTTTGTGGTGTCCCACCATTTTGGGCAGGTTAGTGTTCGTTTTTACATAGATTTGATGACTACTTTTCACTTCCCGAGGTTTCTAACTGTTAAAAATGAGGTTTTGCGGGCAGGCATTATGTGCAATTTAGAAATTTGTGTAGGCGTTTTTCTTTTATGTGACAATTATACAAATGACCTTGTAGTTTAAATGACTTTGGTGATGGCATTTTGGTTATCTTCTTTTAGTGTTCTTTAAAAGGAGGAATATACTTTTTCCAAAGTTTTCTTTTTCTTTTTCTTGTCTCCCCATTGAACCAAATAAGATGGGTATTATCAATCCAAGTATAAGAAACATACCTAGAAATGTTTTACTTTGTAAGGATGACAATTAGAATTTTCCCCATAAAATTATGAATAGCTTATTAGTCAAATTAAAAAGATTATTAACCGCAAAGCATTCCTTTATGGATGAACTGTCTAGATCGATAAATGGGTACACCATTATATGGGTCCTTGGTGGAATCGTACCTTGGAGTTTAGTTCTTATTTAAAATTCTGTTTTTGTACCATGCAGAGACTGAACAAGGAGTTGCCCAAGCAATCATTCGTTCTGTTGTGGATTTTAAGAGGGACCCTTGGCCCAAAGTTTCTGACAATGCGAAAGACCTTGTAAAGAAGATGCTTAACCCTGATCCTAAGCAGCGGCTTACTGCTCAGCAGGTGCTAGGTAGTGTATAGTTCTTTTGAAATTGCAAAGTAATAGTTTTATAAATTTTTAATGCCAAGCAAAATAAGTAACGAAACTATTACATTCAAATTCCTACTATCATAATGTAAGAAACCTAAACCAAGTTTTTTGCTTGCTCTTAATTTCAGATCATCCTTGGTTACAAAACGCCAACAAGGCTCCGAATGTTTCTTTAGGTGAAACTGTTAGAGCAAGGCTCAAGCAATTTTCTATGATGAACAAGCTCAAGAAACGAGCTCTAAAGGTAACATTTCAAAGCTAATTGGAATAAACTAATTAAGATTATTTTGTTCCGCGCATGTATTTCATTACCAAAATTACTTTCTGTTTAACAGGTGATTGCTGAGCATTTGTCAGTGGAGGAAGTGGCGGGCATAAAGGAGGGATTCCAATTGATGGATACCAACAACAGAGGGAAGATCAACATCGATGAACTAAGAGTTGGATTGCTGAAGCTTGGCCATCAGATGCCTGATTCAGATCTCCAGATTCTTATGGAAGCTGTGAGTAATATCCTCTATTTGGAAACCAGTTTTTAAGCCTTTGACCTCTGTATCAGATAAAGGGCTGCCTAGATAAACTTTATTTAGGCTTCACTTGTATGAAATTCTTGTTAAATTTGTGAAATAAATGACATTTCTAATAGTGTTCTTTATAAAAGTGGTGTAAAAGAAGTTCTATTCATGATGAAGTAATTTGAGGATGTTTTACAGGGCGATGTAGATAAGGATGGACATTTGAACTATGGGGAGTTCGTAGCTATTTCAGTTCACCTCAAAAAGATGGGCAATGACGATGATCACCTTCACAAAGCCTTTGAATTCTTTGATCAAAACCAAAGTGGGTATATAGAGATTGAAGAACTAAGGGATTCCTTGGCTGATGAAGTTGAGACCAACAACGAAGAAGTCATTAATGCCATCATTCAGGACGTTGACACAGACAAGGTCCGTATTAGTTTTATTCCAGTTTTTGTTTTGTATTTTTCTTAACCTTTAAATTTTGGGTTTAGTTTGGAATACTTTAGAATTATTGACATTAAATGTGGAATTGACAAGGTCATGGTAGTTAGTTTTGTTTTTTGGATTCTTAGTTCAAAATGTGCTATTCTTGGGAGTTAGAGGCCTCTTCCCATTCTGCCATGTCCGCATATTTTGTGCATCCATTTTGATCTGAGAAGATATGCACTCTTCTTCATGCTAGATTCCATTTTTAATTTCATTTCTTGTGTTTGCAGGATGGCCGTATAAGTTATGAGGAGTTTGCTGCGATGATGAAGGCTGGTACGGATTGGAGAAAAGCGTCGAGGCAGTATTCACGAGAGCGGTACAATAGTCTGAGCTTGAAATTGATAAAAGATGGATCCTTGAAGATAAGGAACGAGGGTAGATAACTACGAAAAAGACAACGCCATAAAAAAAAATGATGAAAATTTGAACGAAAGATCTTTTGGTTTTGTTGGCTTACGAATTATTATTTTTCTTCTTCTTTTCCATTCATAGAAGAAAGAAAAAATGAAAATTATCTTCAAAGATCCTGTTTGAGGATAAGTAGGGTTTGTGAGTGTTGAATGTGTTTCTTCTCAAGTGCTTCTATATTTGTTTGGATAGAAAAGGAGTGTGAATGTGTGATGAAGGTGGTCTAGCAAGTGGGTTATTTGTGATTGTAAATATTTTGACATATATACCTCCATTAAATAGTCGAAGCTACTACTTTTGTTTCGTCAATTGAATCTTGTCAAGATTGTTGTTTTTTTGTATTTTTTTTGTTTTGGTTTTTGAAATGTGGACATTTTATGCGGAGAGAATAGAATGTTCTCCACACATTTTAGGGATAACATTGTGGATAAAGAAGAGAATTTTATTTTGTGATCTTCATTTAGTTTTGACTCCGAAAATAGTAGGGCAGCCTTTGAACTTAGATGGGGACATATGTTTTTGTCTGTACTGCCAGCTTGTAACTGTATAAATTTGGTATCACCAGACTGCCAAGACCGGACTTCAAAAAAAAAATACCAAGACCATTTTTTTATTATTAATTTTTATTTTTATTAAAAATGATTTATTTTTGTTTAAAGTACATCAAAAAACAGTTTGCATGATCTAATTTGGAGTGATTATTCAGTAATTTTAAAATATAGACACATGGTATTTCATAATATTAGAATTTGTGAATAAAGTAGATACGTGAGGTATTATGTTAGGTGATTGATGAACATAAAAGAGATAGGATAAAAATTATGGATAAACTATCAATAGGTTTTAATAGTTGGACTTAATTTTCATCAAGTCTTATTGAAAATAAGTCTTGGTAAAATTGTCGCTAAAAATAATTTTTTTGTGACAATTTTTTTATATATGTTGCTAAAAATTGACAATTAGTGACTTTTTTTATCATGATTTTTATAGATTGTCGCTAAAACTTATAATTAGTGACTTTTTTTATGACAAATTTTTCTCATAGAACCTAGTAGACAATAAGTCCACTTATTAGGACTTATACGTAAGTACTCCTAAATTATAATTAGTTAAGAATACAAATATATGATACTTCGAAAATAGTCTATAATTTTCCTCTAATTTGGCTTGTGGAGAAGGCGGGATATCGCCCATAGAAAGTGTGGGTGTTGATTTCTGACCACACTACCAAACAGGAACTCAGCTGGAAAAAATAGGCAAAATAGATTGCGCCCGAACAACCTATCACAGAAAGATAAGACTCCAGCGGTGATTCTTCCACCTGGGGGCACTCCAACGATCAAGTTAGCACTCAATTATCTCTCAAAGATAGCAAACAGTGCTTAACTCACTAACCAGGAAACAAAAAGCATACCTTAGACCTACGAGGGTACTTTACTTTTATAGCCAGCACTGACTTGATCCCCATAGAAGCCTAGCTTCAATGGACTCTGACTCAATGCTTATTCTAGACTCTCAAATAGATATAGATAAACTCCCTAGGAGCCTCATCCTTATCCAGACTGAGGTCCGTCCCCATTCTAGGACTCTTGACCCTTATCTATTCATCTTGGATTCCGATATCTCCACAGACAACCTCGGCCTAGTCGAGATCAAATCGGCGTCATGACTAGGATACGTGGCACCTCGGCTGACACTTCGGTGCCACCTTGGCCACGTGTTGTCATCTACAAAAATATGCCCCCACAACTGCCCCTAGGTTCTATTACCTCAGCATCTGAGGTGATGGAACCTATACCGTTTATCCACATAGCATGTCGGCTAAAAACTTACTTTTAAACCTTCATTACCGATGTCATCAAACATCGGCTACATCTGTCCAAAACTGAAGTCTGTTTTACTAATGCCAAAAAACCAAGAACCAGGTTTTTTAAGTTCTTTAACCGAGATCGTCCTCCTAGCCGAGGTCTTTGCTTCATTTAAATCAAGAACTCCAAAGGTTCTATCTACGTATGAGCTGTCACACATGGTTTCTCAACCGTTTTCGGTACGCGTTTTCTCCTCATTGATCTGTACCTGACACGCGTCATCAGGCAGGTCGCGTCGCTTCTGCGCACATCGCCTGACAGGCACGTCGTCCAAGGCACATTTATTGTGGTCTTGCTGCCTTTTCATGTTTTAACAAAACCTCTTCCCTTTTTTCGTCTTTTCACTTTTCGTTCCTTGATTTCTCTCAAGCTTTCTCTCTCTAAAGTTTCTTGCTTCCAAACCGCCATTGCCCAATTTCTCAAACTCTGTAACTTGCTTCGTTCATCCCCTCCGGTGAAGCATTCACCATTCCGTTCCATTCACTGTCACCGTCTGACTCCGGTGTACCTCATACCGGCGTCATTCTCTTCGGTAAGTCACTGTTTCCCCCCTTTTCAGTCTTTGATTTAATTCAAACTCTATTGCGTTGTCTGTTGCCATTGTGAATCTTTGCCTATGTTTTGAATTTCGTCATTCGTGTATTGAGCATGTTTGTTTGCGACTCTTTGTTGAATCTATCTCTGGGTATATTTATACACATTTTGCTCACACACTCGCTATCTTGCCACTGTTCTTGGCTTTGCACATCTGCACATACTTCGTACGATGTTCTTGAATTTTTATTGATTTTCTTGAGTCTGAATCACTGTTTTTTTTTCTCTGTTTTTCTTGCTTTATTTCCAAATTCTTGCCTTCATTTCTTGTTTCTGTAGACTTAGGCTTGGGATTTGATTTAGAACCCTATCCCTTAGGAAAACCGAACCAAAATCCTCTTAGATCCTTAGAAACCTTCATTCCAGTGCTCTCTAGGATTCAGCCGAGGTCCTTTAAACCCACACAAATCACTTTCTTCTAAAATCTTGCATCCTCCCTCTTTAGCCGACATCATGGGTATGCTTAGGTGGAGGGTGGACACCCCAAAAAAGCTTCAGTACTTTAGGCAAGAGTTCTCCATCCCTGCCGATGTCCAACTCAGGTTGGCAGGGGAGGAGGACTCCATCATGCCTGATGACAACTTCATACCCTTTCCAGTAGTTGCTTTTATAGAGTGCGGGCTTAGGTTCCCTCTAAACATCCTTTCGAGAGAAGTCCTACACTACTATAAGCTCAATCTGATGCAATTGGCCATTAACTCCTATAGTAGCCGAGCTTACCGAGTATGAAAATTACACTATGATGATGCAGCATTGCGTCTTGGTAAGTCCCAACACTTGTAGCTTTTTACCTAGCTTTTAACTCTAGTTTTCATACTTAACTAATTTCTTTTGCAATCTTGCAGGCTATCCAGCAGGGTCACTCCCTAGCTGTCAAGGCTGATGATTAAACTCCTTATCTCCCTCAACAAAGCTGAGGCTCGTATTCAAGGTCTCTTAGACCTAGCCAAGGTCACTGAGCTGGCCCTAAAGAATGTCGAGGATCGTGCCGAGGCTGCGGAGAATGTTGCCGAGGTCGCACAGGCCGAGGCAAAAGAGGCCAAAGAGAAAGAGGCCCAAGCCAAGACCGAGCTCCAGACAGCACTGTCTACGAAGGCTGGCGAGATTAAAGAGGTGGATGAGAAGGCCTATGCTGAGGCGGCAGTCGACGTCCATGAAGAGTACAAGAAGCAAGTCAGACAGGCATGCAACAAGGGTTACACCCTTGGTTGGATGGCTGCTCTGACAAAGCTGGCTGTCCCCGAGGACTCTCCCCTCAGAGATGAAGGTCGACTTGCGGTGTCATTCCCCCCTGCTTCAAGCTAATCTGAGGCTAAGGCTAAGGAGGAAGAAAAAGAAAAAAAAAAAAGAAGATGAAGAGACCGAGGTGGAAGTCAATGCTGAGGGTTCTGCTGGGGCTAAGTCCCCAACTCTGAATGAGCAAGTCATGGACTTGACTTAGGATGAGGAGGACGAGGTCTCAAAAGGTGCCTCCCCCAAGAAGACTTCGCTCGAGGTGCTTATCGCCGAGAGGAGCCTCGATCAAACCCTCGAAAAAATTGATGCTGAGATCCAGGCTGAGAAGATCGCTGAGAAGACTTCCCAGTTGTCTTCCGAAGCCGACACACAACCAACTGCTGATGCCGAGTAGTTTATTTTGATGTTTTTCCTTTTTTGTGTAACTTGTACTTTTTCCTTTCGAACAATGTTAGCTTTTGTTTGCCGACGTGCCCTTTTTGTACTCTAAACAAGTAATCTTCTGTAAGCCAAAGTGCCTTTTTTCTTTTGAATGCAAGTATAATTTCTTCTTTCACGTGTTTATACATTTGTATGTTTTACTGCTTCCATACTTAGAATATCTTTGCATGTCTTCAAAGTACACCTTAACTATGCAATCTCCTCGGGGTAAAGTACCTCGGATATATCTTGTGATTGTTTACTTCGGCCTTGGCCTAACACTTAAAAATATTGTAAAATATTTTTACAAGTATTGTTTCTTTGACCTTGCCACCTCAATCTCACTTATTGTCTTCTATCCTTCCCAAGTTGGGCAACCTGGTCATCTTGGCAAGTGCGTATGTACTTCTTGCAATATTAACTTGGCTTATCTTTCAACTTGTAAATTTTTTCTGAAAATTTTAACAAGTGTTAAGCACTTTTTATTCATTATGCTCCAGCTCTCTACCCCCTAATGTGAACTTAAATTTCACTTATGCTCACATTAAGCATATGCCTATGATTTTGTTGCCGAAGTTGGATTCAAACAATGACTAGCCGAGGTTCTCAACTTTGGTTTCTCTGTTAAACTTACTGAAAGGCACTTAGTGTAGCACGCGCCCGCGAGGGGGCCCTGTTACTACAGTTCGGACTCGATTTGATGTTACGGTTCTTAATCTGAACCAAAGAGTCCAAATCCGGCAAATCGTTTTGAGAAACAGATTTTTTGAAAAGAAGTGCCAGACATGGACTGCTTTGCCAGATACAGAGTCGCCACCTAAATATTTTAAAATGGGAAATTTAGGAAACCTTGACTCGGTGCCGAAGGCCACATGTCCGTCATCACCAGAGTTGCCTCGCTCGGGAGCTAGGGTACGATTGGGGAAGGTCAGCTATGAGCACCCCCTCTCGTCCGATCCGAAGATCGGCCTCTACTAACCGTGATATCCGTTTTTGAAAACGTTATGTGTTCTTATTCCATTTATTAGCCTAGAATTACTACGTTATGCGCACAGCAAACAAGTATAGACTAGATTGCCTAATTTGGTAAAAAGCATTGCATACCCGTTTGTTTTGGAAAATGTTTTGGAATTTGCTACCCGCAAGTAGGCTAAAACACGGGTTTCAACAAGTGTTTCCAACTCAGACAAT